TCTTTGTTTATGGTGCACCAAACCAACTCTACCTCATATTCACCTAAATATTGCCACCTTCCACTTAATATATAAAATTATTTCCTCCGGTATTTTGCATCAAAGCAATTCAAAAATTCTAAAGGCCTTTGTTTATTAAGGTCAATGCTGTAACGCTATGGATGTTAACTCTACATTAGGAGGTGCTTAACGTATCCTGTGCACAAACCGTAATGAGTTGCAACTTGCAAGCCAGTTGTTTCACTTAATCTGATGTATCATATTGCTACCATCCTCTTAATATATTATTTCCTCTACTATCTTGCATCAAACCAATTCAAAAAGTCTTTGCTTAATGTGTCGTGGTATTGCAAATGGTAAGGTCTTTGTTTATTGTGCAGCAAACCAACTCTACCTATGCATTAGAGTGGGTTTCCATTGTTTAAAAAGCAATTCAAATGGGTCTTGGTTTGCTAATTTATTGTTTCGTGGGTTTCCATTGTTTAATATATATTGACAGTGGCATCCTTGGAAAAGCTGGCATCTATAGCGCAGGTCTTTGTTTATTCATTTACTGGACAAAGATACATCAAACAAACCTTTTTTTTTTTTTTTGGTATGGAAATTTATTCTGCAATCCTCAATTCTGGTCTTCGCTGTTTGATTTTAAAATTTTCAATTATTTAATCATGAAAGAAAAGTCCTTAATTATTGTTTTCATAATAGAAAAGTCTTCAATTATTGTGCTCATGAAAGAAAGGTCTCCAATTCATGGCATATGCAACTGGACGGATCTAAAATACAATTGAGCGTGCGTGTTGCATTCACATGACCACTGAAAATTTGAGGTTTTTTTTTTTTTTTTTGAAAAGTTATCATGTAACTTTTGATTCACTTTTATTTATTTATAGAAGGTCCATTGTTTTTAGATTAAACAATATGAATAGCCTTCTTTCACTACACAATAAGAAAAAAAATTTAAAATTATTAACACTCGAATCTTATTTGAAAAAATAAAAAAACTATCTGAGTACACATCTGTTAGGTTAAATCTCTGTGTTGGGCCCAAGTGACTATTAAATTTTTGTCAATTTTAATGATATAAGTACATGAAATGACTTGTAAATAGTTCTTTTTTTTTTTTACTTTTCTGTCGGTTAAAAATATATTACGGTTTTTTCCTTCAAAACTTACTTCTTTCATCATAAAATAGTATTTAATTAATTGCTAATTTCTTAACGTTTAGAAGAAAAATATAAATTTTGAAGGGAAAAACAAATCATCCAAAAGTTTTAACATATTTTAACTGTTAAATAATAACGTTTACATACTAAAATTTATAAAAACCTAATAAAATAACTCAATTTTAATTAAAAAATAATTTAAAAAAGTTCAATCCAAAATTAAAAATTAAAAAACTAATTCTGATTTTTCTTTGAAAGAGAAGAGGTTTGTTGCTTCCTTGGATTATCATCTTTAAGGATGACAATTAGCAGTTACTAGTTCATTAATTTAATTTTTTTTATATTTATTAAAAAAATACTTTATCCATATATATTAAGAAATTATATTATAAATTTTTATTCTGTTTATATCTTATTCATATTTAGTTTATTCGTTTATTTAATATTTATTAAAAATACTTTCTCAAAATATTTTATTTTATTCTTTACAATTTAAAAAAATATATTTTGACCTTTAAAATTAATATTTTGATCTTTTATTTATAAGCATAACAATAGTACTTTAGCAAAATCTACACATACCACTTTCTTCCTTCGACGGTAAATTAATACCTTAGAGAACGGGTAGTTTTATTCAGCTTCGAACAGCCATGAATCTTTCAAGGCTGTAGACCATGTTGAACTAGATGACGGAGAACACAAAATTTATTTATTTATTTATATTTATACATCTCACTTTTTTTTTTTTTCCCACTCACTTGCTCACGTCACTCTATCAACGCACACTTATTCACTCAAGACTCCCAATACTTGAAGGGTTAAACGTATTGAAGGGTTAAACGTCTAGGATAGCTTTTTATTATTTTATTTATTTTAATCATGTCTTTTTATTAATTTTTTTAATATTTATGTCCCTTTACTCTTAATTTGTGTCTTAATTTCATCTATTTGGCCAAAATTCCAATACCTGCATTACGTTTTAATGATATATTCATAAGACGTCGACACATAGCACTAAAAAAATCTGAAAAAAATTAAAAACTCTTAAAAAACCCAAAATATCCCTCTTTTTCTCTCCATTTATGTATAGAAATAAATAATTAATTTTATCCCTAATTTTTTTTTTTTTTGCTTTCTCTCAAATTCAAACTAAAAAAGAAATTTTTTTTTATGTATAGAAAAGAACAGAAGCAAATTTTATTTATTTATTTTAGAAATTTATTTTGAAAATTTATTTCAAATCCAAACCAAAAAAAAAAAAATTATGAAATTTTTTTCATAACATAAGAATAAAAGCAAAAAGCAAAGAAAAGGAGAGGCATTTTATGATTTTTTTTTCAAAATTTGAGAGAGAAAAAAAATTGATAGATGAAATTAATTATATATTTATATGCATAAATATAGAGGGAAAAAAAAGAGCATTTTAGAAAAAAAAAATTTATTAAGATATTTCAATCTTTGCATATTGACCTGTGGGCATATCATCCACACTTTTAATGAGCATATAGACTAGAAACTATTTACTTGATCATCTTCTATTTGTTTTTTTTTCTTCTTAATTTTGTAATTAAACATATTTATCCATATGTTGCATGAATATTGACTTAATTAATGTGAAAAGATTTTTTTAAAAAAAAATTGTGATGTTGTCTTTCGCAAGCTATACTTGATAAAAATTATTAAAATTTAATTTTTGATATCATTCTTTCAATCATCAAGTCAACAAAAAGACATAAAAAATCATACTTTGTTTTACTATTAAATTACCTAATATTTTATTTTCTTAAAAAAAAAAAACTCACATAACACAATCACACACATCTTTATACAAATTGATATTTTGTAACTATAAGTAAGAAATGTGTTGAAGTAAGAAAAGTTTTGGCCTGGTTGTTAAAAAGGTTTGCTCTATTGTTTTTTTTTGAAAAAAAATTAAACCTCAGGGCCAGGATTCAAGAGAATTAATTAAATTCTTCTGAATGTACTAAATCAATGTAGGAGGTATGCCATTTAAAATAGTTTTAAAATAAACTTAGTTTCAATTAATGTACAAACTGATTTGAGGATATCATCATCCTCAAATTTAAAAAAAAAAAATTGAAGGAAAAGTGTATACTTTATTTGTTAATAATAAAAAAAATTCTATTCAGACCTTTTATTTTCTTAATTCAAAGGTCAAGCAGATAATCCCCAACCTATATATTCCTTAACGAATATGCACCCAACCTTTAAAATCTTGCTAATTGGCTCAATTGGTCATATTTGACTAATAATTAAAAAATCCATGAATTCTTAACTAATAATTTTTCTTATAATTTTTTTTTCAAATAAATCTCAGATGATTTATCTAAAAACACTTTTAATATTTAGATTATATATAACCATGCTAATATCATTTACAAATTACAAGAATATGTCTTATAAATTATATCAATTTTTTTTAAAAAAACAAATTACAATATTCTAAAAATTCATTAAAAATACATACATAGATCTCTCTCTCCTTACTCCCCTCTCTCCGGTACTCTCTCTTCTTAGTAGTTAGACACTAGATTACAATATAAAATAAAGTTATGGATCAAAATAAAAATTATTAAAAAAATAATTACGGGTTCAAGTGACTCAATTCATAATAAATGGGCTAAATTGACGGATTGAGGATAAAATAGGTGGCAAATTATGAGTTTAGACGTTAAGATTTACTAGTTAATATTTGCTGAATAAAATCCTAAAATTAAGCTATTTTATATCACTACTTACCTTTAATACACAATTTTAACTTTGTAATAGAAATTTCAAAAAAAGAAAAAAAAAAGAAAGAGCTTTGGTTTCTTCCTGCGAAGGACAAATTGAGCCAAAATCAAAGCTGTCCAAGTTGAAAAAGGAACACAAACTAGGGAAAAGACGTAATGACAATGCATAATTCTATTTCATGAGCCCAACTTTTCCTAAACTATATAATGACAGTAATATGTGCTGGCCCCTGCTAAACAAAACAACGTCGTTTTCTCAAAACAAATAAGTGATTTTTTTTGTTATAAATTTTCTCTACTTTTTTTTTTTTTTTTTAATATTTTGGTCGTTTTTATAGAAAATAGTTTTTCAATTTAATTTTTATTGCAAAAAGGTCCATGCGTTTTTTATGGTTGGACTATGCTTCCATTCCATGCGCTGGCTCTAGTTGTCTCCGGGTCCATACAAAAAGGTTTGGTGTTAGCCCAGTCTAGCTTCTTTATTTATGTATTTATTTATTTATTATTTACTCAAATTTTTTTTTCATAATTAGTAGTTACTTTTTAATTTTTTTATAGACTTAAAATTATACACTCTTCTAATATAAATTGATTTAGCTAAATTGATTTTTTTAAAATAATTAATTGCATGTTTTCTTCTCTTGTTTTTTGGGTCAAAATAAAAAATATTTTTAGGATATATTTAAACTCAATTTTTGAATATATATTCAAAATTTGAGTTTAAATATATCCTAAAAATATTTTTTATTTTGACCAAAAAAAAAAGAAAAGAAAACATGCAATTAATTACTATTAGTGTTATTAATTTAAATAAGTTCTCACAATTAGTGTTATTAATTTTTATTTTATGCCTATATTTTTTAATTATTTAAAACAATGAAACATATTATATAAACTTATCCGTAACACCATCTTGGTACTATGCTAGTTTCGATCTACAAAAATATGGGTTTTTACTTAGCTCAGCTACAATTAAACTGCTAAATGGAATCGTTTTGAGTTATTTTGGCGCAAAACGACACTACTTTCCCGAAAAGAAAAAAAAAGTAATTTTTTAGAAAATGTAACTTCATTTTAGTCCTTGATGTTTGGTGAGGACAACTTAGCTCATTGGTATCAGCATTTTGACAGCCGTGGGAATGTCATTCAGATACCTGTCCAACGTCATGGTGAGTTTGTAGAAACTCTGCTTTTGCTAAATTTCCTTCTCATGAATCTCTTGTTTTGTTAGTTTTCCTTCTCATGTTCCATTGCATATACCTACAAATTTGTGGGAGCGAGTCAACGCAGAGCAGTCAATCCTTCCACCCTCCAATGGTACCTCTATATTGGTGCAGGCTGTGCAGCAGACAATATTGGATCACCTGATTGTGAAGATCAGCACTGCGAGGTAATGATTTGATATGAGGCAAGTACAGAGAAATCAGGGGAAAAAAACCCCCTAGATTTTCCTTATATGGATGGTAAAGTGCACCTGCCATTGATTCCAGCTCTCCCGCCCATTCTAAGAGTATTGCTGGTCTGCTGGATGCTAATGGTGGTAGAAGGTCATCGAAGTTCAAGGAAAGTATCTGTTCGTACAACTGGATGTTTGGGATGACTTCCATGGAAGGAATATCGACTAATCTGTGAACCGCAATGGAGGAACATATATCCTTCGATTGGATGGACAAAATCACCACCGGATTGGTTCTTTTGCGCACCTATATATCTATGTTACAGATTATGAGATTGAGAATAGGATGTCAGTTTTACAAAACAGGACAAGGAACGGTGGTAGAGTGGTTGATCGACATAATGTGTTGGTTAAAGTCATTTCAAATGGCAAAAGAGAGATTTGAGGCAATGGATATCGATCCCTACAAGTTGAAATTTTATTACAGGAGGGAAAGAGATGGGCTAGCCTATAGCTTGCCAAGTTGCTCCGAGGATGCTGGCCTTTATCCTTGCAAATAGCGAGGAAGGAATAGACCATAGAGATATAGTTGTGGAAGATAAGGATTATGGCTTGGAAAGGATAACAGAACTGCACCCATGCTTCATGGTACTACAATACAATTGTTGTTTTCATATGACTAAGAGATTTCATATCAACTCTGTTTTTCTTGAAATTTAAGATCGTAGTGTTAGAAAAATAACGGAAATCAAACAAGATAAGCTTGAACAATAAGCTAAAGGTAAATAAAAGAAAGATGAAAGTAAGAGAAATAGAATTCGGTTCATGGAACGCTATGGTTGTCATTGATTTTAGAGTAGGGTTTCGTAGCTATCCAAGTGCAAATAGCTGTTTTTGACATCCTATTCTCAAAATACAACGAACCATTCAAGATCTTTCTAATGAGCAATCAATTAGTAAACTCAAGCAAACATTTTGATTCTTTAGCTACTCTTAAGAAAGGAACAAAAGAATAATTGTTTTCATTAATAGAAAATTTGTTTCACAAATTAAATAAACTAGAACTGCACCACCTTTAGTGCATAAAATTAAATTACCATTGGAATACAAAGTAAATCTTCTCATCTAGAGCAAGAGGAGCAAGATTTTCCAGTGAATCTAACAAAACATCGCATGCAAGGACCTTTCTCTCTCCATTTCTTCTGCAATGCTCGATGTTGACGCCTTTTAACTCATGCAGCCAACATTTTACTTTACTAGCTGCACAACAAAGTTGCTCTTTCTCTCTCAGCACTAGTTTCTTGCAAAGAAACTTCATGAATTCATTGTTCGTATCCCAGCCAGACCCAATCAATAAAGATTTTGGATGAGATGCCCAAAACAAACCATTCACAAGAGCTTCTTCAGCTGCTTCTACTTTTGCATGATCACCTACATTGTTTAAGTTGATGTTGAGCTCCAAATGATTGATAATTGAACTGGAGATATTGCTGACAATTTCGGGGAAGCCACAAGAAATATGATAAGGAATGTACAAATTGACAAGCTCAACTTGGTTGAAATTCTTAAGAAATTTGTTCAATTCAAGGAGTCTACAATGACGAAGTAATACAATGTCAACTTCAAGTAAACTTGCTGTGCTCGCAGAAAACAAAGATGGGATTTTTCCAAGCAAATATTTCAATGACTTCAACCGTGGAGCATCAATAATAGTTTCCACCATCGTATCGGAACAGAGCTTTAACTTCTCAAGCCGTTGGTTTGAAATTTTGATACTCTCAAATTCATTAGCATCCAAGTCCCAAACCTTATCGAAGTCCAAAACCAAAACCTTAAGTGCAGAAAATTTTGAAATAAGATCTTGAATTGCTCCCACAGTAAGGCTACTATTCTTAATTTTCAAGACTTCCAGATTTTTGCAAGCAATTATATTAATCTCAGTATCTTCACCAAAAACTGAAAAAAAGAAATTTTGAAGACTAAGGGCATCAACCTCAATCTTATTTGGACTTCTCCCCCTAACCTTAACCTTCTTTAGTTTTGTGAAACCAGAAAGTGTAAGGTAATCTAACCCAGAGCAATGAGCTATAGTAAATTTCTCGATGAAAGGGCAGGTAAAGACGAGATTGTGAATAATCCTTTGGTCACAAAGATAAACTACTTTCAGAGAAAGCTCACGCAGAGAAGGCAAATTTATGGTAGGAGCATCAATACTACAATAAGCTAACTTGCAAACAACCAATTGTTTAGCAGAGAAGAATATGGCTTTCGGCAACCGATAATAATAGTTATCATAAGGAAATTCAAGAGCAAGTTCCTTAACACCGTACTGCGTACCGAGTCTTATACAACGATTAATAAGAACAGTAAGTTTATGCTTCAACTGGGGTGTGGTACAGCTGATATACTTTGATTTACGAGTGAGAGACAACTCAAATTTCGGTACGTTTCTGCTGTGTAAGGACTGTCTAAGCAAAGAAGTGTAGACAAACTTAACGAATTCGAGTGTCCTGTCCACCTTAATAAAGTAATCTTGATAATCAATTCCAAAATACGAATTAGAGAAATCAAATATGGGGAAATAAGTAAAAAAGCCATACCATTCCTTGGACAAGACGCTAAGACGAACCACATCTTTTGTTGGGAGAAAAGAGAGAATTTGGTGTATAATGTGGTCAGGCAATTGGGATATCAGATCAGCATCAATAGTACAGCTGCTCATATTCAAATTATCTTGTTGCTATTGCCCTCTCAACTTGAGCAGTGAACAGAAACTAGGGTATTGGCAGCATATAAATAATGGCACCGACTTAGAGGCAAAGTACAGAAACCGACTCATATTTCCAAATCCAACTCGTAATCGGATTGCGAATCCTACATGACTAGGACTTTAACATTTTATTTATAATATATTCCATAAATACAAATGGCAAAAACAAAAACTCAAAAGAAATAGAGGTAATTAAAAGACTGAACCAAACATAAAGAGAATGCTATACGAAAGTTGGCTACAATCCAACCATGCATCCAATTTTGGTGTGGCTGAGCCAGATTTTTTTAGTGTTATCATCTAGTCACCTGTATAAATTCAAAATCATGTCATAAAAAAATAAAAAATATGTGTATCTCGTTCTTTTTTATTTTTTATTTTTTTTCATTTTACAATGTATCCATGTAAATTCATAATCACATGTGGATAGCTCAAATGTTTTGTTTGGCTCCTAATTCTTCCAAGGTCTTAACAATTTTATTTATATTTCAATTTTCATCTTATTTTGAGAAATTTACAATTATTTGTTACTCTAGCTATAATTCATTTACTTAATTCACATTTACATTTGAAAATTGAAAAAAAAAATTCCCATTTTCAAAATTGGGCTCAAATCATAATTTATTCCCTCAAATTTAATTGTGTTGTCGTATTAGCTATAATTTATTCCCTCTATTTTTTAGAAATGACTTAATTAATCCACTATTTTTAAAAAATATGAATACAAATCATGTAATTTAAGAAGTTATAAATAAATATAATCTATTTGTTAAAATATTTTTAGCACATTGTAATTTTTATTGTTCATTTATATAGCAAAATCACAACAATAAAATTTAACTAAAAACTATTTAGATATTTTAAACATTTAAAATACATTATAGTAATTAATTAACTAAATACTGCTCTTATTCACATAAAATTAAAAAAATGATTTAAGAAGTTGAAGTGCCCCCTTCAAACCTAACAGTACGTACCAGTAAGCCATGGATCAGAAGCCATGGGCCGTCCCTTCTGCTCCATTAAAACGTAATCCCTTCAAACCTAACTGTACGTACCAGTAAGTCATGGATCAGAAGCCATGGCCCGTTCCTTCTGCTCCACTAAAACGTACGTACTCCCTTCAAACCTAACTGTCCGAACCAGTAAGTCATGGATAAGAAGCCATGGCCCGTCCCTTCTGGTCCACTAAAACGTAATCCCTTCAAACTTAACTGTACGTACCAGTAAGTCAAAGATAAAAAGCCAAAAGTATTTCTTTGTTCTTCTTGATGCCAAAAATGGCTCATTTCTGTCAACTTGTCAATGACTGGAAGAGAAATGCTATAAAAGGCGCAAAAGCTGAACGTGAAAACCATCTCTCTCTCTCTATGGCATCACCAAACTCTGTTAAGATACTTGATATTTGCAAGGTGGCTGCCGCTTATGACTCTACCAAGCCAGCTACCGAAGCCACGCTACCCCTCACCTTTTTTGAAATTACATATTTCAGATTTGCTCCATCCGAGTGCCTCTGCTTCTTCAAACTTACGGACTCAAACCCTGCCTTCTTCCGCTCTGTAATTTTCCCCAAACTCAAACAATCACTTTCCCATGCACTACTTCACTTCCTCCCTGTCCTAGGCAGCCTAACATGGCCCCCAGACTCCTCCAAACCCATCTTTGTTTATCATCCAAATAATGATTCTGTTTCACTTACCCTTGCCGTGTCTAATGATGATTTCGATCGCTTTATAGGCAATGGAATACGTGAAGCTGTTGAATCACATCCTTATGCACCCCAATTCGTCACAACTGAAACTAGGTCATCATTATTGGCTTTGCAAGTAACATTGTTTCCTAACAAAGGGTTTTGCATCGGAATGACAACACACCATGCAATATTTGATGGGAAAAGCGCATCCATGTTCCTTAGAGCATGGGCTTATACATGCAAATATATTGTCGAAAGAGGTGAAGCCCAACTTATGTTGCCAGAAGAAATCACCCCAAGTTTTGACTGGACAACTATTAAAGACACAGAAGGACTTGAGGAGGTGTACCTTAAATTGTGGGCAACCATGGGGAAACAGTCGGAATCAGGTATAGACTCGAACCCAAAAAGTGTGAAGCCGTTGCCGAAACTCCAAGTGCAACCCAACTTGTTTCGAGCAACGTTTCATTTAAGCAGTAAAGACATTAAGAAGCTTAGAGAAAGAGTATTGCTTTATCACCCGGAAGCAACAGACCCTCGAAAACGACTTAATCTCTCAACTTATGTGCTCGCATGTTCTTATGCATCGGTCTGTTTGGTGAAAGCAAGAGGAGGAGATGCCAACAGGGAGGTTTATTTTGCGTGGTCAGCCGATTGTAGGAGTCGTTTAGACCCTCCTCTTCCACCAAATCATTTTGGTGACACTGTTGTGGTCCATCACATAGTTTCTAAAGCAGGAGATTTTATGCAGGAAACTGGAGTTGCTATTATAGTTGAGAAGCTTAGCGATTCGATAAAAGGATTGGAGAAGGGACTTCTTGAAGGATCAAAGGACAGGTTAAGGATGTTATTAAGTTTGGGGCCAGAAGTGCAACAAATTAGTGTTGCTGGATCGACTGGATTGGGATTTTACGACATGGATTTTGGATGGGGAAATGTTGAGAAGGTGGAGTTAACATCCATCGATAGAACTGGATCATTTTCAGTGCTAGATAATGGATATGGAAGTGACCGAAGGACTGAAATTGGCGTGGCTTTGACAAGGCCAGAAATGGAATCTTTTGCTTCCTTTTTTTCAGATGGAATAGAAGTAATACATTCCAAGCAAGTTTGATGAAAAAGAAGAAAAGGTTTTCTGTGTAACATTAATTTTTATGTTTCCAGTTCGTGCACCATGGTCATTCATTAAGCCTTTTGGTATTGATAAAGAGGAAGACTAGCCTGCCTGATATGTTAGCGTTCTGTTGGTGGATTCACTCACATATATGTTTGCCTTTTTTTTACCCCCCACAAAAAAGCTAGTTTTCAAGGTCTATGAGGAATAAGGATCAATTTAAGTTCGTTGAATTTTAAAATGTGTTGTAGTGTTTTCGAAACTTAATGTTTTTGGTGTTTTTGCCTATGTGCAGGCCAGGCTTTTCTAAGTTAGTTTTTAATAAACAATGATGTCAATTTGATTTTTGTATTATATAAACCCAACTTTGCAGCTATAATACTACATGCATATTTCGAAATGAAACGGAGAGGTAAAGGAATTAGTTCTACAGCATCAAGATTAACCTAAGTTGTATGCCTAGTTAGCTTCTGTAGTTAAATAAGATTCGAGTTGTAATGATTTAAAAAAATTTATGTAATCGGAGATGGCTGCGGCTGCCTACGTTGTGTAGCCCAAACACCCAGGAGCTACTTGTATATGAGAGTTAGGTTCTGATTTGGGTTCAGTAATATAACATATTATCAATTTCATGAGTAATTTTGTTTAGTGAAAAACAAATACATGAAGCATTACCATTTGTTATATGCCAATTACGAGGGACATGGAAATGAAACAATGAAAACAAATGACTTCAATTTTTAAATAAAAGGGATCAATTTATAATTTGATTTAATAAAGGACTCAGAAAAGTTTTTCTTTTTACATGTTCTCAGAAGCTAGTCATGAAGCATTTTTCATTTATAAATCTTTGCACAAATTTGGTTCAATGGGGGAGAAAAATATAACATTGCTGCAGTTAAAGAATTGCTGATTAATGCTACTATCCTAACCGTGTGAATTACAAATTAGTCTCTCTAGTTTAGATAAATAAAATAATTAGTCCTTTTTTATATCCAAAACTAATTATTTAATCCTTTTTGTCTATTTCATTGTCTTTTCAATTTTTTTTAGAAAAAAAATATGTAAATAAATATTATTGAAATATTTCAAAAGAAAAAAATATTTATTTGAAATAAAATACTATTAAATTAAGGCGTGAGTCAAATGACTAATAAATTATTATTTTTTTAATAAGAAGAACTAATTAATTTATTTTTCAAAACTAATGAACTAATTTATAATTTATTCCCTTTTAATCTTTCTTTGGTCCCCTTCACAGGCTTGGGCTCTAAGGCCTACTCAATCTAGGCAGAAGCAACCACACTATTATAGACCTATTATTTGATTTTCGTCAAATCCAAAATCAGGCATAAGCACTTCCAAAGAGATGTGGTAAATAAAATCAAGAATCATTTGTTCCTTGCAGTATTCAAATGTCAGTCTCCTATGCAATAAGAAGACATGATATTTAGTGAAGAGAAGGGTGAAAGGTTGTTGATAGATGATTTGGTGATATTGTAGGACTTCTTATAAATACAAGTCTGGTTATACAATACTGGCCAGCCCGGGAAGCAAAAAGATTTTTGTCATATAACACTTCAATTATTTTTTAAAAAAATTATTATTTACTTAATGAGTAAACTATAAATTAGTCCCTTTAATTTCAAAAAACAAATTAATTAGTCTCTTTTATTTTAAAAACTAATTATTTACTCCTTAAATTTTTATATTTTATTGTTATTTAATTATTTTAGCCATTTTCAATTTAACAATAAAAAATAAGTAAAAAATATGAAAAGATTTAAGAGGGTCGCATTTTAAGAATTTTTAATATATTTAGAAATTAAGGGCTAAATGTTGGTGGAATGAAAGATAAAATAATTAAGTTATTAATAATGGCCAATAAGAGATAATTAAAAATAGTTTGATATTTATTTTGAGACAAAAAAAGAAAAGAAAATAATAATAATAATATTGCTTGGTGGGTAAATTTTACCCCTCAAAAACGTCAATTTAGGGAGGCAAGGATTAGCCCTGCCTTTAATAATTCACCTCCTACGAAAGGTAAAACTTCAGTCTCATTAACTCGTTTTCAAACATTAACCAAGTGTTAATAATAACAATAATAAAAAAAACATAAGCCAAGTAAATTAAACAGTGTTC